TGACAAATGAAGTGAATTTATGTGCTTGAGATACTTTATAAATCATAACGTATCATGTAAATGCTACTATAATTGATCTGCCTTTATGGGACCAGTTTGTAAATGCACTAAAATGTACTTTATGAACACAACCTACTCTCCTGAATTTGTTACATTTTATAAATGTATACTCTTTGTTCTTTGTAATACTTGTAGAATAGTTCCTATTATCTGATTTGTATTAGCTGTCAATGTCTCTGGGAACTTTTAAAGTGTTGTTGAAAGGCAGTTGACTTTGCAACTAAGTTGTAACACTAGAGATGGATCCCCACCCATTGTTAATCAAGGCCTACAAGATGCCATTGTTTTGAACCAGACTTCTGCACTAGGTCCCAGCAGCCCAGAACAACAGCTGGCATGAGATGCAAACAGACTGAACTCCAGAAGGGGACAATTTTCCATGAAAACAGGAAGTTCACGATAACCAACCAAAATGCCTGGTGTGCCATAATAAGGAACATTCCTGCTTAACTCCTAACCTTGAAACAAGCCATCGCCTACCTTTTCTGCCTGTTTTCCCAAGCCCTGCACTACCGACAATGCCAACCTCCTCTCCTCGGCTCACGAGGGCCCTCGTTCTTCCTGGAAGGAAGGGCTGCAATCCCAGTTGTCATAGTTCTAACGTGTACAATTAGATTCTCAAAACAGAGCTTTCACAACAATGTGATACAGCTACATTTAAAACATGGGGGAAATTTGTATTTAAATACATCTCAACTACTTATTGATTGGAAATGTCACTTAAATTTTGTGAATCAGTCTATACTAAGCACAGAACACCCAGACTGTCTGTCAGTCAACAAACATGTAGTAACAGGCTCAGCCAGCACCAGATACCTCCTGGACCTCATGGTCAGTAAGTCAACTCTTTATTTTAAGCCTACAGCCTAAACAAGGAAGTAGAGAGCAAAGCAATAAATAAACAAGCAAGATGTTTTCAAACAGTGACAAATACTAAGAGGGAAATAAAATATATGACAAAAGACAGAAACTGAGGAACTGTTGATGGAAGGTACCAAAACACTTCACTGGGCATCAGAATTTTGAGCTGAAGTCCAATTGACAAGAGGAATCCAACAAGTGGCAACTGAGGGACAAGACATTAAAGCAGAGCCACACCATGTGCAAGGGCCACAACATGAGATGAGGACCTAAGTCCAGTCCTAACCCTGACCATACATGTAAGAAGCCCATTCTCACGTTCAAACAGCTGAAGATAATTATTGCATTCTTCCTAATTTCTTTTATGTGAATATTTCATGCTCTCAATTACTATGTATTAGACACTTTTGTTACCCTACACTTTCATTTCTGAATGTTTCATTTGATCCTAAGTCCTTCTGCAAACAAACAAGAACGATGTGACTTAACCTTAAGAGACATTTTTCTCACCTTCAGTCTATTCAGCAGCTTTCTGCTAACGTCCACCTGACAGCCAGTTCACACCTGTTAACCTTCCAGATCTAATGGGGTTGGGGGGAGGTGCTGACACTGGCACCTACAATGGCATAATGTGAAGACTGTGAGAAGGGGACAAGCAATCGAACAGGGAGAGCTCAGATGTGAGCCTGGAGATCAATGAAAACTCTCAGGAAGGACCTTGAGATGAACATTTTCAAGTACTACAAAAGATGGCAAGTAGTAGCCATAAGCGGAAACTGCAGGAAGAAAGCAATACTATGCGCAATACACAGCCATGGGAGTTTGATCTGCTGTCACATGGCGCCCGTAGGTGAACCAGCAGACCGAGAGCAAGCAGGAAGGTCAGGGCTGTGTCATATCCAGCACAAGTGACCCAAGGAGCGATCCATCCTGACTGCTGAGACCAAGGATGCCTCTCGTGGGTGGACTGGGTGCTGATGTTTGCAGACCAACAAGAGAGGCTATCCTAAGGGAGATTCAGCCCATGGCAATTTTATTGAAGTGATGAAATACTGAAGAGGAAGGACTCGATGTCCAGCACCAGTTCAAGAAAACAGGAGCGTAGGGTGGAAAAATGCCCAGGAGGAGGGAGAGACAAAGGAGAGGCAGAGTTGGTTACGGGCACAGGATTTCCAGAGCCTGGTGACTACAGGTGGTAGAGAGCACACATGAGGAAAACACATCTCCTCCTAAGGACAGGGTTGAGCTTTTGTGGGTATCAACACTTTGACAAACCCCCAGCATGATGGAGTCAGACAAAATTAATTCTTCAAAATATTTAATAATTGCTTATTTGAAAAAAAAAAAGGAGGCAGATGGGGTCACTACTGTGGGTAAACTTCTACTTGAGATGTCAGCCTCCCATATGGTCCTGACTGTTCCACTTTTGGTCCAGCTCTGATACTGGACTGGGACAGCAACAAGAGATGGCCCAAATCCTCAGGTCTCTGCATTCAAGTAGGAGACCTGGAATAAACTCCAGGCTCCTGGTCTCAGACTGGCCACTGCAGCCATTTGGGGAGTGACCCAGTAGATGGAAGATCTCTGTCTCTCTCCCTCTCTCTCTGTAAATCTCCCTTTCAAATAAAAAGAAATAATAATAATAAGAAAAAGAAAGAAAGAAAGAAAGAAAGAAAGAAAGAAAGGAAAAAGAAAGAAAGAAAGAAAGAAAGAAAGAAAGAAAGAAAGAAAGAAAGAAAGAAAGAAAGAAAGAAAGAAAGAAAAAGAAAAGGAAAGAAAGAAAAGAAAGGAAAAAGAAAAAGAAAAAGAAATAGGGAGAGACAAACAAGACAAAGGGATCTTCTATCCACTGGTTCTTTCCCCAATGCCAATAGGGCTGTTCCAAGTTGGAACCATGTGTCCACATCTCACTCAGGTCTCCCAAATGGGTGGCAGGAACTCAACCATCCGAGCCATCCCTACCGTCTCCCAGAATGCACATCAGCAGGAAGCTGGAACCAGGAGTGGAACCAGCACTCAAACCTGATAGGACACATGGGCACCTGAGCAGGGTCCTAACTGCTAGGCTGAACACCTGCCCCCAAGTAAAATTACTTTCTAGATTCTTATCACACATGTTTTAAAAGTATATAAAAAGGAATTAAAATTTCTTGTTAAATCATAGGTCTTGTTAAATTTAGGTCTGTACAGAAAACAGCAGAAAAATCTTACCACTGAGAATTGAAAGACTGACACAGTTTCATCAACTGTTTGAAAAGTCCCAAAGCTTTGCTATTCTGCTTGTCAAGAGCTGATGGAGTATACCATGAACCTCCTGGGGGACAGCATGCAGAGTCAAAGAATCTCTCTGCAGCTCAAAGTTCCTTGTCTCTTGTAATTCTTTGGCTTGGTTGGCTGGTTGTGGTTTTCTTTTGTTCTTAAGATTTATTTATTTAAAAGGCAGAGTAGATTTACATATGCTGGTTCATTCTCCCAAATGGAAGGCACATTAGCAGGGAACCAGATTCAAAGTGGAGCAGCTGAGACTTGAACCAATGTATATGGGATGCCAAATTGGCAAGGTGGCAGCTTAACTTGCTGGGCTGCCAACATTAGCCCCCAAATGTTAAGAATAAGCAGTATGCCCATATGACCTGTGGAGGACCAATTGTTATTTTCCCTGATTGCATTTGTTTAATACTGAGCAAGGGAGGAAGGGAGGAAAGGAAGAGAAGAAAAAATTTTAAAAAAAGGAACAAAGAATGCCTTACAATCTAAAATACAGAGATAGAATTATTTTGACATTGTGTCCCTCTGACAATTATAGACATCTAATAAAGAAACTACTGGATGGCCCAAACGGAGATGGCCGTGAGAGGCTGTCAGGAGAAAAGACTAAGAACTCAAGTTGGGGCACAGAGCTTTGGGGGCTCTAGGGGAACAGGATGCCCAGCAGAAGTAGCACGTGAGATCAGCAGCCAAGTAGGGTGATGAAGCAATCCCCAGGGAACAGCAGTCTGACCCAGTGGAAGAGCCTGACAGACCCAAGAAGGATGCTGGAGGTGCGGTGGCCATGTGCATCTGCTTCCTATTGGCTGAGGGATCAATTATGTGTCATCCTCACTTACCATTCATCACCTAGACAAACTCCATCATGTGTCAATTAGTTCTTCTGACTTCCAATTGATCCTTTTGGGTTATAACTGCTTTTCAGTACATTCAAATGAAAATCGAGGCGAACATTAAATTCCGATACAAAATCACTTAGGTCGAATTGCAGATGGGGAAGGAAACTTTAAAAATGAATTATTAACTAGGTAAGCCATGTAATCACATATCACGTAATCATGGAGTAAATTGGTTTCTCAACTATAAAATTCATTAATCAGAGAAACTAAGGATTAAGGGAGATAACGCATGTAAATGGGCCAGCACTGCAGGTGCTAACTTCTCAGGGTTTACAGTGATAATGAGTACACAGTACACAGGATCTGCCCTCCACAGTGTCAACATCAACGTAGCCAATGAGTCATCTCTTAGGATGTCTGTAGGTCTTCTCCCTCTACTCCTCCACAACCAGTGGGTGACCCTCTTCAAGCCTCTCACACACGCTCTAGAAGGATCTCTGAGATTCTCTGAGAACCTGCTAACCTTCATGTAGTTTCCTCCTTGCCTCCTACTTCATTTATAATTTCTGAAGCTTTGTACAAGTTCTAGACCCACCAGAAACGCTGACAGATTTCAAACAAATATGGGAGACCACACAGCCTTCAAAAAGACCAGTTGTCACATGAAAGTATTAATCACACTGCTTAACAGACAGCTCTACAATGAAATCAAAGATAACAGTGACCCAAAACCATTCCTGTAAGTACTCCTGCAGCCATATTCAAATGCCAAAGGAAATAACATGGCGTCTAAGTTTGAGATATCATTGCATTTTCCTCCCACAAAGGATGTAGTATTCAGAATCACTTGTTGATCACTGCCACCCAGCCTCACAGACACACCTGCTGTCTTCATCAGCTGGAAACCGGAAGGCAAAATCCCACTTTGTTCAAGTGATGTGAAAATAAGGAAGATCTGGCACAGTGACTCACCCACTTCGGCCAAGGTTCGGATGCAGGACTCCACGGAGGCCTTCTGGGCCGGGTTTGGCCAGGTGCAGTTGTAAATTCTGAAGGCAGACTGCAGCAGCTGAATGAAGACAGGCTGGTGTGTCTGAAAGCACAGAGAGCTGGGTAAAGTCGAGCTGCTCACCCAGCTTCCCTTGTGCCTAATGTGCTCTCCCCATGTCAGAGTGTGGTCGCAAGGAAACGCAATGCAAGTGGTTGAGTCTCCGTGCTGTGTACAAAACACCTCATTTAACAATCACATATGAGGCTCCCACTTCATAATGGGACCCATGCCAAACGCAATTGAAAATCAGTGATTTGCATTTTAGTCAGGAAAAATTTAGCACACCTTGAAGCCAATAAGGAATTCAAACATATTGGAATGACTCCTGATTTCATTTCCAGATGCCTGTTTTAGTTTTGTAGGTTGGCCAATTGAAGGAGACAACCATTGTTGTGAAGCATGAAAAATTTTTACAGAGCTGTGGCAAATTATTTAAATTGTTTCCCTAGGAAAAATTTAATTACAAAGGCATTTGTATAAGAATACATGTCATTGTAGAAACTACAGAAACCACAGAAGTGAAAAGCATCAATAATCCAACAACAGTGAGATAATCAGAATCCATTCTGAAGTGTTTGTTGCCTGAGTTTTCAATGACATCTACATAAAAACAGACTTGCATGATCTTATACCCAAATTCTGCAAATATGACCTCATGATAATTTTACTTGCTTCCTCCATTTACTTTTAAAAGTGATTTTTAATTGCCATGTAACTAGGAAGCCTACAGATGTACTGTGACTTATGAGCTGTATCTCCATGTGTGAACATTTACGATTGATGTCTGTCTTTAAGTACCACATAGACTTGCATGAACAAATTGATATATAAATTTCTGCTAATTTTTTCTAATGAATTTCTAAAGTGAACAAACTATTGGGCCAAAATGCCTAGTCATTACTAGAATCACAACATTTTTCAACACTTGCCAAATAGTCAACATTTGGATTATTCTGTTTAGAGAGAAAAGAACTCAATTCAAACGTGGGCTCTTAAAACAAGTTTCGAAAAGCTCACCAAGGGTCATGAATGGTAAATAGCACAAGGCTCATCATCAGCAACACAGGAAATGACTTTTTGAACAAGGCAAAGCTGTTCCTACCCAGATAAGGATGCTGTGTGTGCTGAAGTTACCTGGAGGCTGGTACTGTTGTCTGAAAAGGGAGAATTGAAGAAACCGCTCACAATGCTCATGATGGACTCGGTCACACACTTCTCCAGGAACATGTCAGCATGCTTCCTGTCTGTGGTTGTGTTGCAAACCTGGAGACAAAAACAAACAACTGAAAAATGAATGTTTTATCACATCTTTGCAGTTTTACTCAATGCTAGAACATTCCAAATACTGTCCTGAAATTGTAATATTTCTAACTGCTTTTGATACATTATTTACTGTTTTACCTGAAAGGCCAAGAGAGACAGAAATCATCATAGTTCACTTCCCAAATGTCTGCAACAGCAGGAGCCTGAGCCAATGCCAAAGGCCCAGAGCCATTCAGGTCTCCCACATGGGTGGCAGGCACCTAACTTCGAACCTTCCAGGTATGTTTTAGCAGGAAGTTACACCAGGCAGCAAAGTCAGAACTTGCACCCAGGCACTCTGATTTAGGATGCGGGCATCCCAAACAGCACATTAGCCACTGAACTCAGTGTCCACCCCAACTTCTGCTTTGTAATGTTGCTGTGAAGAGTAATACTTCTGCCCAAAAGCCATAAGCACTTTATCACTCTTTGTAGCATCTTCTCTGAGCTGGCTCATAATGGCAGTCCTGAATTGATCATCCCTTGGGCTGCCACCTTTTCTTCCTGGTTTGCTTCTTCTTTCTATCTCTCTTTTTTAAGATTCGTGTATTTTAATTTAAAGGACAGCTTTTACAGAGAGAAAGAAGCAGAGGTAGAGAGAGGAGATTGCATCTTGTGGTTCACTCCCCCAAATGACTACAATGGAGAGATGTGCTGATCCAAAGCTCAGAGCCAAGAGTTTCTACTAGATCTCCCACATGGGTGCAAGGTCCCAAAAACCTGGACCACCTTCCACTACTCTTCCAGGCATGAGCAGAAGGCAGGATTAGAAGTAGAGCAGCTGAGATATGAATCAGTGCTCAATGTTGATGCTGGAGCCACAGGCAGAGGATGATCCTGTTGGTCCCTGCCTCTCCTTTCTCTTACATGCATGTTGTTTTCTCTCTGAACTGCCTCCCCCAATTAAAAAAAAAAAAAACTTTTCCACTCAATTGAAGATATTAAAAACTCATTACAAGTATAAGAAACTGGGAAGTATAGTTAATAATCATTTTGTATCTCCCTGCACATTCCCTTTTAACATTTGCCCAAGCTGCAGGGGGCAATCCAGCAAAGATCTGGAAAGGAAAACAGAAGATAAAAGGAGATTAACATGCTCTCCACCAAGGTTCATTTTTTTCTTTTTCCTTTTTTAATGCACAGACCACCTGTGTCTAGGTGTTTTGGCCTGGAAGACCAGCATTTGCCAAATGGAGAAGTTGCCCAAGTTGCCTCCCATGTGGACAATTCACTTTCTCTTCTGATCAATCAATCAACACCCACCTGAGGTTATTATTAGACCTGTAAGATTCGTAGTATACCTAATTTCACAGGGTTATAGTAAGGAACAGTGCAAATCAAGAAAATAAGTTTTGTCAAACTATGTAATCCCTCTATGGTCACCAGCATACATCATAACACCTGGCACATACATCATGAGTTCATTTAAGAAAGGAAAGAAACCTACCAAGGACTCCTGTTTTAACTTAACTTTGGGTTAGGCTGTATTTGTGAAACCTCTAACCCAGGAATAAAATTTAATGCGGTCACAAAACCAGCATAAAACTGATTCTCGGGCCCGGCGCGGTGGAGCAAGTGGTTAAAGGTCCTCGCCTTGCACGCCTGGGATCCCATATGGGCGCCGGTTCTAATCCCGGCAGCCCCGCTTCCCTTCCAGCTCCCTGCCTGTGGCCTGGGAAAGCAGTCGAGGACGGCCCAAAGCTTTGGGACCCTGCACCCGCGTGGGAGACCCCGAAGAGGCTCCTGGCTTCGGATCGGCATAGTATCGGCCCGTTGCGCTCACTTGGGGAGTGAATCATCAGACAGAAGATCTTCCTCTCTGTCTCTCCTCTCTGTATATCCGCCTTTCCAATGAAAAAATAATAAAAATAAATCTTTTAAAAAAAAACTGATTCTCCCTTGATGAACATGAATTTAACATTTATATAATTTTTGACTTTTTCTAGCATTGGCTTTTACTCTGTACTACACTGATGTCTAGATTAAAACTATGTTTGAGTTGAATACGGAGCAGACCAATCTTGGCATCAATAGCCCTAACAACCATCTTGCTCCTGCAGTGGGATTTCATGCGATTCTGTGGGACCCTGTGGAGTGATTACAGCTCCACACTGTGTTACTCACAACTGGACACCTTCCACCTAGAAATGTCCTGTCTAGTCAATCAATAGACTACTAGAAGGGATCTCTTTCTAAGCAAAGACTTTCCTCAAAATGCTGAGCAGTGAAAATTCTGTGTTTGTAAAACTGTGTGGAAGCTATTCCTCATTTGGACAGAAACATCAAATAATTATTCAAGGCAATTTTTCTGGCCCCCATGAATGATAACATTTTCACTTTCCATCCTAAGGGGTAAAATCATGGACGTAACCAAGAATGTAAGAAGCCACATTTCTTAATAAAAATCTTTAAACACTTTTAAGGGGAAAAAAAAATCGCTTCAACAGGGCAATATTTCTTTATACCCTCTTTCATTTATTTTTATTAGTTCTTCATAGTAAATATTCAAAATGGCTCACATAAAATAATACCACAGTAGCCCATCAGCAGAAGATTGGATAAGAAAGCTTTGGTTCATCTACTCCATGGAATACTACTCAGCTATTAAAAAAAAACAAAATGCAGTTCTTTGTGGCTAAATGGGCCCAACTGGAAACTATAATGCTAAGGGAAATGAGCGAATCCCAAAAGGTTAGATACCACATGTTTGCCTTGATTTAACCTGTAATTTTTGTTTGTTATTTTTTGAACCTGTCATTGATACTGTCTCAACCCAGATGTTTTGAAGAATTGAACTTGCATTATTTTTAACATATTGTTTACTCAACACTATGTCAATTAATTCCATAATGTTGTATACTGATACTGAGGTTTTGTTGGGGGCTTTTAACTGACCGGAACTTTACTCTGTTAGCTCTACCTTCAGACCAGAGAAGGTCTCCCCAAGAGGCCACTGAACTTATCTGGACAATAAGACGCTGGACTTTATGCTAGGTATATGCTTGCAATGAAGGAATCTCAACTGAACTTGAACTGTGGTTATACAGCAAGGTGGAGGAATCCACTATGGGGGGAGGGAGGTGGGAGGGGTGGGGGGAATCCCCAGTGCCTATAAAACTGTATCACATAATACAATGTAAACAACAATAAAAAAAAATCCCAGTATGGATCACTTTTTGTGTAATACATGTACTTTTAAAGTTTCAATGTTTACATGTACTAATCATGTAATATCATTTCTTATAAATTTAAACACTTACTTTAAAAGGCTATTTTTATTCCATCATTCCAATGCACCATCATACTTTAGTGCATCTTGGGAATGAACTAAGATATATATCACCAAAGTTACAAACCATTTTCTTTATTTTGTTTAAAAAAGTGGGGGGTGAGGGTGGCATTTGTCTACCCAAGACAAAGACAAAGAGATCTTCCCTCACAGGTGCATTCCCCCAATTCCAGGGGCTAGACAAGGCAAATGCTAGGAGCTAAGAATGTAACTTGGGTCTCCCACATGGGTGGCAAGGGCCCAGTTACTTGGACAATAGCTGGTGCATCCTGGTGTCTGCCTGGATTTGATTCCCAGGTTTGTTCTTGCTTCCAGCTTCTTGTCGTACAGACCCTGGGAGGTCCTGCATATGAGTAAGCTTACAAACCACGGGACGTTCCCTTTCTGCCACCTACTACCTCCTGCTCTCAGATTCTGTGGAAGAGAGAGAGTAGGGTAACCACTACACTTCCGCCTCAGACCCCACCTCCCTCTCCTGGCTGAGGTTTTACCAGTGTCTGTTCTCTGCACACAGCTCCTTTTAGAGCCCATCAATGTCCCCAAGATATTCCCAGGCTCCAGTCATACTGGCCTGCCTCTTGTGTTCCAGGCAAGGAGAGCATAACTACTGCCACCCATCATCACACAGTGGAAACAAGGTGGCATTGTTAATAATAAAGTAAACACTTGTAACAATGAAACAGTGATAACAGGGGACTTACTTCCTTAGTATCTATCCCTCCTACTGTTTTTAACCCCTAACCACATATTTGGAACTTCCAGTGTGTCTGCAGCTAGGACTGACTGTTGGGCCTGTAGCCAATGACCCCTTTTGTCGACTCAATCATGCTTTAAAAATTGCTTTATTTTGCATTTCTTGCATTGTTAACAAGGCACTTCCATTCTCATGAGTGATCATGCACAAACAGCTCCAACTCCAAAACCAATTTCCAAAAACCTGGACAATGACTACACATTACATATAAGCTTAACCAATATTTCATCATAAGCTTTCTTCAGATAATTTTTGTATTTGGCCCCCTTGATTTTTATTTTGTTTTGTTTCTCAAGAGGCAGAAATATGTGTGACAAGGACAGGGAGGAAGAAAAGGAAACAAAGGAAAATAAAGAGGAAGAATGAATGAACACGCATAGGCTGGTTCATTTCCCAAGTGCCCTGTGACAGCTGCAGTTTGTACTGAAGCCAGGAGCCAAGACTGAAAACAAGGACTCCCACATCAGTAACAGGAACCCAACTGCATGAGTCAACCCTGCTGCCTCTCCAGGCCTTCATCAGCCAGGAGCCGGAGTTTGGATAGCAGTCTGGATTTGAACTCAGGCACTCTGACACGGCCTATGGCATCTCAAACAGCATCCCAACTCTCTTAAGATAACTCCCATCACTACAACGCATATCAGGAAGTGAAGCAGAAATCAGCCACTGCAGTTTGGAGGAAAGAACAGGCAAGAAACCATTCCCACAATTAGAATCTATCCTCCTGAATACCAGTTACTAACCTAGCCTGCTCATCATTAGACTCAGTACCTCAACACACAAAGGGCCCTCTAAAATTACTGGCTGGATCCATACACATCAGGTGAAATAGCTAGGCACAATTATGTCTAAATGTCTCCTCTTACATTGCTCTCTTCCACTGCTCCAAAAGAGGCTGCCACCCTCCCAAGGATAGCA